CCAATGGTTTGTTGATCCTTTCAAAGAACTTTTGGTTTTGTTTGTTCTTTCTATTGTTTTTCTCTTCTCTATTTCTGGTCTAGTCTTTATTATTTCCTTTCTTCTGGTAGCTGTGGGTTTCTTTCAGTATTCTCTTTCTGTTTGTACAAGTTGTGAAGCTAACATTTTAATTTTATCTTTTTTTTTGATGTGTGCACGTATTGCTATAAGTTGACCTCTAAACACTGCCTTTGCTGTCTCACAAAGGTTTTCGTATGACATGTTTTCATTCTAGTTTGATTCTAGGAATTTTTTGATTTCATCTTTAATTTCCTCTATTACCCAGTGGTTTTTAAGCAAGGTGTTTTTCAGTTCCTGTTTTTTAATTTTTCTTCCTTGCTCTTCCTGTTATTAATTTCTACTTTTGGGGTGTTTTGACCATAGACCATGCTTTGTTATCTCAGTGTTTTGGATTTTATTGAGTGTTGCTTTGTGGCCTAAGGTGCACTCTATTCTGGAGAACGTTCCATGTGCATTGGAAGAGAATGTATACTTTGCTGCTGTTGGAAAGAGTGTTTTATACATGTCTATGAGGTCAAGTTGGTTGATTATGACCTTTAGATATTCATATCTTTGTTGAGTTTCTTTCTAGATGTTCTGTCATTTACCAAGAGTGTTGTGTTGAAGTCTCCTACTGTTATTGTGGAACCGTCAGTTTCTCCTTTCAGTAGTGTTAGAGTTTGTTTTATGTATTTTGGAGCCCTGTCATTGGGTTAAAAGCAAAAAAATAAATAAATAACCAAAAAAAAAAAAACTGTACAGTGCAATGATGATCCACTATCACACTCATGTTATAGTAGCTTCATACATGAGTCTACTCTCCTGTAAATTGCTTTGTGGGTAGTACTTTAAAAAGATGTGCCTTCAGTGTATAGTATTTCAAAGGTGTGACTGCATTTTGCTGTGACTTTGCCACAGTGCTTTTTGTAATCCATTGTGTATTTTTGAAACATAATTTTAGAGATGTAAATGTTTCTAGGCCTAGACTATGACAGCCTCATTTTAAGAAGATTTAAAACAGCAATAAGCCATAAATAAAACTAGTTTTTTCCAGATCTGCAGCCCTAATTGAAATTCTGCTTCAGATTAATTGTTCAGTATAATTTTCTGAAAGCACTGGGATGGATTATACAGTCCTGTATGTGTTATTTTATCACACAATTTTATAATACCTTATAATACCACTTCAGTTGGCAAGAGTGAAGTTTACAACGTGTCCCGTTTTGATAAGGTATACGAAAAGTACATTCAAGTAAAAAAAAAACAAAAACAAAAAACAGATTTCTCAGTATTCCAGGAGTGTACTCCGTGTATATTAATACACCCTCTCCTCACTTATCAACATGGTTAGGTTCCAGAGACCAGGTCTGTATGTGAAATCGGTGTTATGCAAAAATGAAGGATGACCATATCAGATCACAGAATGGACGATGACTACATCATTACATAAGTACTAAACCACTGTGTCTCAGTCATCTAGTGGTGCTGTAACAAAAATACCACAAGTGGATGACTTTAACAAAGAGAAGTTTGTTCTTTCACAGTCTAGTAGGCTACAAATCCAAATTCAAGGCATCAGCTCTAGGGGAAGGCTTTCTTTCTCTGTCGTCTCTGGCTCTGGAGGAAGGTCCTTGTGATGCATCAGTCTTCCCTTGGTCTGGGAGCCTCTCTGCATAGGAACCTCAGGTCCAAAGGATGCGCTCTGCTCCTGGCTCTGCTCTCCTGGTGGTATGAGGTTCCCATGTGTCTCAGCTTGCTTCTCTCTTTTATATCTCAGAAGAGATTGGATTAAGACACTATCCAATCTTGTATACCTCATAAGTATAACTGCTGCTAATCCAGCTTATTACATCATAGTTAAAGAGTTTACACACATAAGGAAATAACATCAGATTACAAAATGGTACACAATAATACAGTACTGAGAATCAGGGCCCAGCCAAGTTGATACATAACGTTAACCATCACAGCCAGTGTTACTCTTGCCTCGCACCTCGGCATTCGTTACTACCAGATGTACACCATAAATATGCAAAACAGTCAGATGGTAGATTTTTCCTATTGTTGTAAATTCAAAATGTCAGCTAACAAGATAGTTAATAAGTGAGGAGAAAGTGTACTTGTGTGCTCAGTCGTATGATCTTTAGATCACCACAAATTCATCAAACACGTTTTACAAAGTAGATTAGGCAAATATTGGAATATAGAGTAAGAATTGTTCTTCAAAGAAAGTCATATTCTAGTGAGAATAAAATATCCAAATAACACTAGTACAGGTCATGTAAATACTCTGGAAAAGATGCCAAGTGCTCCGTGGGTCCTAAGACTAAGAAAATGAATAATAAGGAGAACCATTAGAAATGGCTGCAATTCTGAAAGGTAATCTTAATGATGGAGGATGCTGAAATATTTATACAAAAGGAACAACTTAAAGTCATGTATTAAGGACAGCATAGGGCATATTTGGGAAACAGTCTAGAATGGCTTGATGAGTAGGATATGTATAGGGAAGTTGGCAAAGATAAGATTGTCAAGATTTCTTGTGATTATATTTTAGAGAGCCTTGCTTGTTAGGCTCAAGTATTTATGTTTTCAGTCAGATTCTTACAGCGGAAAAGAATGACAAAAATCATCTCATTCAACTCCTTGTTTTACAGAGAACAGGGTGGTAGTGTCTATGGAGAGACTGAGTAATTTTCCTAAGTTTATCAGTTTATTAACCTAGGGCTAGAAACCAGATTATTTTTCATTTATCTATAAAGATATAGGGGAATAACTGAAGCCTGTTGAGCCATGTGGTAATAAGATTGATGCTATTATTTACAAAGATTAATTAATGGAAACCCTTGAAGTCATCTTCTGTTTCTTATTCCCTCATTGATCTTATAGTCTGATAGCTTCTTCCCTATGATCTCCCAGAGGCATTAGTCATTTCTACGTTACTAAATCAAATGGTCACTTTTCAGTCTTCATCTTACTTAACTTATAACCAGCTTCCTCCATGATTTTTTTTCACTTTGTTTCAAGCACATAGTAATGCCTTGATATTTCTCAGTTTGCTTTGCTTGTTCCTCCTCTTTTCTGAAGTTTAACATTAGACCTATTCAAAACTGAACATCTATCTGATCATCCTCTCATCCTTCCCCCGCCAAATTCTGCTCCACCTTCAGTCTTCCACATCTAGTTGATGTGACTCTATTCTTCTGTTTGCTGAGGGCAAAAACTTTGGAGTCATCCTTGACTTTCACACATTCCATAACTAATCCTCTCAAGAAATCTTCAGATTTATACTTTACTTTCAAAATATAATGAGAGTCCACTATCTCCTCTGTTACTGCCTTGATTTAAGCCACCAGTGTCTCTTGACTGGATTACTGCAATAGTTTCCTTTTTTAAAAAATTTCTTCTTTCTAACACAAAAAATGTTGCTTAACAAACTACCTCTAACATTAAAACAAAAATTACTTATTTTTATGCATCTGTCGATTGGTGGGGTTAGGCTGACTCAGCTAGGTGGCTCTGTGTCAAGTTGTGGGTCCAGCCATGCCTAGCCGTGTATCCGTGCTCCATATGTTTCTATTCTAGAGCCAGGGCTGAAGCGGCAGTAGCCACCTAGAAGAAACTATGCTCATGGAGATAAGGGAAGCATAAGAAGACAAGGGGAAACACATTAAGACCTACACTCAGAACTAGTATATTGTCGCTTCTGTCCCTGTGCCATTCGCAAGTCACTTGGCCAACCCCAAAGTCATGGGGTGAGAAAGTATACTGGGTCCACATTTAGGCCACGATAACGGTGTGGATGCATGGTTGAGGTGAAGATGCGTGGGGGCTAACAATGTAGTCTATCATGCTCCTCTTTCATAGTATTCCTATTTTTAACAATCTTATAAAGACTTTCTTCTGCTCATAATGTAAAACAAAGTCCTTGTAGTAGCCTACACAATATGACCTCATGTTACCTCTTTCATCCCCTTTGCGTATTCTACTCTAGCCATACTTGCCTCTTGCTGTCTTTTAGCATGCTATATTTGTTTCTGCCTTAGAAACTTTATACTATCTGACCCCATGGGAAACTCTCAGACCTCCTTCATTATTTTGCTCAAGTGTCACTTATGATTGCCTGATGTAAAATTGCAATCTATCACCGTCTCACAATTCCAGTCCTTCTTTCCCTGCTTTCTCTCTGTTTTCTTTATAACCCTGGTATCTGTCACCGTATCATACTATATAGTTGTTGCTGATTAGGTTTTTTAAATATATTCTGTCTCCCCACGTAAGAATATAATCCCCAAAAAGGCAGAGATTTTGTTCAGTTATATATCCCAACCACTTTGAATAATGCTTGGCACATAGTAGGCACTCAGTAATTATTGTTGAATAAATGAGTACGTGTATGCATCCATGCATGCATGAATATCTGTTATTTCAGTTACCGTGGCCACTACCATAGTTGAACCTCAGTACCTTGCCAGGATTGTCATCATAATTTTTCTTATCTCCATCAGTTTGTACTGAGAGATTAAGAATTTAGTTTGTCAGATAATACATAGTATGTTCTATGGGTAGAGTCCATGTAATGTTGAATGAATACCTACACATATGCACACACAAGCTTCATAATATACATAAATGTTATAAAGGTTGAAAATAATTTTTATCTTTAAAAATGAGTTTGGGAATTTAGAGACCTAAATACAAAAGCAGCAGCCAAATGTCAATTATCAAGATGATTGATTTATTCTTAAGTGCACTATAAGAGTGAGGTTTTCCTGATTTATATAAAATAAATATTTGGCTTAGGATTGTACCTAAAAAGAGACACTAAACATTAGGAAATGGCTTAATTTTCTAATGAAAGAGGAATAAAAGACAAATGATTTGTTTTATATTACAAAAGCCAATTTAAATATTGTGACCCAGTACTTTAGATCCATGATAAAATTAATATATTTTCTCAGTTTCATCTCTAGACACTGAAAAAGGACCCAAGCCATGTAAAGATCCTAATTGTGAATCTTCCAAAAGACTTTCTAAGGTATGTTATGTGAGGCTGGAAAAAGAAAAAACAAAAAGTTGAATGAACATTCTCACTGTGTAAGTAACCATCTTAGCTATTTATAAAACACATGGGGGACATTTAGGGAGTTCAGTAATAAAGCTCACCCAATAATAAGTTATAAGAAATTAATAAAACATATTTCTGTAAACTGCTTTGAAATTTGGCGTATACATGAAGAATTTTGCAAGTGATTATATGAAGAAGGATGATTTTTCCATTTATTTGGCCTTATTTGGTTTTGATAATTTATAATTATTATATTAATCAGAATTCTTGGAGCCCTGGTGGCATAGTGGTTGAGAGCTACGGCGAGCTATGGCTGCTAAGCAATGAAGAGTGGCAATTCGAATCCACCAGCCGCTCCTTGGAAACCCTATGGGGCAGTTCTACTCTGTTCTGTAGGGTCGCTATGAGTCGGAAACGACTCGATGGCAATGGGTTTTTTTTTTGGTTAATCAGAATTCTGTCCATATTACTATTATTCATCATAAAAATTACACAAATTTGAAATATAATGTTTATTAACTATTTGTATATTGCCTGTACCCATTATCCTGTCTCTGTGTTTAGGATGAAAATTATTGTATAATTCGCAGTAGCTATTTAGTATAGTTTTCTCTTTACATTATACATAACATATTCATGCTCAATAAATTTATAGCAATATTTCCCATGCCTAATTACTCTCCTCTGACAGCACAAGCTTTATAAAACATATTTTTAAATATTTGGCATATAAATTTATTTACCTTACAGTGGTTGTGAAAATTTCATTTTATAAGTATAGGCATTGCATATTGAGGTCAATGTTCATTATTTTGGACCAGTGAAATTAACAGGGAGATTATTTCTTTAGGGTCACTATGAGTTGGGATCGACTGGATGGCAACTTTTTTTTTTTTTTTAAGCCTCCCGAAATACACTTTAAGTCCTCAATCGATACACTATCAGGTGTTTCCGTTTAAATAGTTTCCTTACGGCTTGCTTCTCTTCCATAGAATAGATTTTGTCTTTACTCTGTAAATGGGACTTAAGTTTCAGGTCACTAAGAACAGAGAGCAATCGATGTTAAATTTCTTCTTTCATTTCTTAATTAATGAGTACTGTGCCAATCATCATTCAGTTACTACCTAACATCTTTTAGCCTTCTATCAAGAGTGTGGAATATTTAAACCTTTAAATGGTCATAGACCCTGAGCTGGTATAATTTTTTTGATGATGAAATAGGAATGGCTTTAATTTCAGCCCAAAGCAATACTCAATCCAGATTATAAATTAAATGTTCAAGCACAAGAAACGGGAGTAGAGAATGGAATCTGACCCGTTTTATTATTTTTCCTCAAGGGCTTTCACGGTGGCCTCCAACCACCGTTTTCTTATGTCATTTGTGACACTGAGTAAATTATCTTTTCCTTTTAAATAGAAATAAATAAAAAGCAAAATCTTCAAACCATGAAGCTTTGAGAAAGGGAAATCTGAGATTTCATTAACTCCATTTGTTCTGGTGGAAAGTTACCTCATTATATTAGGTTCTTCCATTAACCGAAATGGCCCCCAAATTTCCTTTAACATATTTGGCTTACTGATAATGTATCTGGCTTTTCTAAGATTTGATCCAAATATGTAATATGTAATATTTTTTTTTTGGATGCATCATTTTCTTTCTACTGGCAAGGTAGTACCCTTAATTAGCTCTTGAAATGTGGCCTTCAGAAAGACACTAACACTGATAAATAGTTGGTTTATTTAAATAGAATTACATGATTTCTTAACCCAGTGCTAGACTTTTATATTCTCTTGAAGTTGATTTATTTATTTTTTTTGTAAATATTTGTATCTAGTTTGCTGAATCACTTTTTTGAGCTTGGTGACTCTTTGTACAGAAGCTACATTTTGACTCCCTTGAGCAGCAAGTAATTGTTTTATTCCATGTGTACATATATGATTTTCTTTTTACTTTGGTTTTTGGATGACTTAAATTCTGGAGGCCTGACAAATATACTTTACTGTATTTTAAAAGAGTGTATCTAATTGGCTTTAATATTTGTTTATTTCTTATGATTATTAAAGTAGGTGTTAAAACTAGTGTATGGCTCACAAGATTTAATTGACCAAGGAACAACATTTTCAGTATCAGTCATCGAAAAATATGTCTTCTATTTAGCCCTCATTTTATTTCTTTGATATTATTCATGGACTCAGACTTTCTTCCTCCTACAATTAACTTGTTCACTGATTTGTATTTATGACTTTTTAAATTCTAAATTTGTTCTAATTGTTGGTTTTAGCATTACCCCCAATAACTCTGAAACCCTTCTTGTCTGGCAACATTACAAGATTATGTTCTAGGCTTTTTTTTTAATTATTATTCTTTACCACAAATCCAGTAACCAGCTGTTCTTCAGCTGATTGTGTTTGTGACCAAAATCTGGCCTTTAGGCACGTATATTAGGTTATTACAAATGACTACTGGTTACGGGCAAGGTGCAACCAAATGAAATGATTCCTAGGCTGCTCTAAGGAGGGAGCCAGAGTGCTTTATGTCCTTTATTATTATTTTTTTTTCTGGTATAAAACACTGTCATTTTTTTTCTTTTTTATGAGCTACTACCTTCCCTCTTTGTTATATAAACATTCTGTTGCTATATTTATTATCCCGTGCTATATATATATTTTTATGGCAAACCATGTTTAAATTACCATTTCATTCAAAGCTTAAAAACCTTAGCTTACTTTTTTCAAACATTTTCTTATGAAAAGTCTCAAAGGTGCAGAAGAATTGAAAGAATTTTACAGTGAACACTCATATTCCCATCAACTAGATCAAACCATTAGCATTACTATAGTTGCTTTATCATATGTCTGTTCAGCCGTCCATCTTTTAATCCATCAACTCATCTTATTTTTGATGAATTTTAGAGTAAATTAAAGGTATCAGCCAGTTTCTCCTAAATACTTCAGCATATTTATCATTAACTAGAGTTTCTAATTAGTTAATGAAGTGCGTTAACTAATTGTACTTCAAAATAAAAAATAGAAGTGTAAATAAATTAAAAACTCCATGAAGTTTTTTTTTTTTTTTAATCAGCAATATGTTTTCAATTTTACGTGTAGAAGTTTTGTATATCTTTTGTTAAACTTACTCCTAAGTATTTTGTGTTTTTGGTACTATTGTAAATGGAATTTAAAAAAATTCATTTGCCAGTTGGTTCATTTTCCAATTATGTTTGCATATTAACCATGTATCCTGCCACTTTGATAAATGTACTTATTCGTTATAAGTAGTTGTTTTATAGATTACTTGGGATCTTCTATGTAAACCATTATATTATCTGCACAGAGAGTCAGTTTTACTTCTTCCTAGCTGATTTTTATATCTTTTATTTCTTTGTCTTACTGCAATAGCTAGAACTTATAGTGTAATGTTGAATATATGTAGTGAGAGCAGAAATTCTTGTCTTGTTTCTGATTTTAGGGAGAAAGCAGTTAGTCTTTCACTATTAAGTATGATGTTAGCTATACAATTTCATAGATACCTTTTATCAGAACAAAGAAGTTCTCTCCTATTCCTAGCTTACTGAAAGATTATATCACTAATGTGCGTTAAATTTTGTTAAATACTTTGTCTGATTTTATGAAAAAATATATATGTATTATATTTTATAATATCTTGTTAAGGATTTTGGTATCTATGTTTATGAGTTATATTTCTATCATTTTCATTTTTTATAATGTCTTGGTCAGATTTTGATTTTGGGTTCTGCTGGCCTCATAAAATGAGTTGGTAATATGCTCTTACATTTTGTGAAATAATTTTTACGATTGGTATATTTTTTCTTTGAATGTTCGAAGAACTCACCAGTGAAAATACCTGGTCCTAAAGTTTTCTTTATGGGCAAGTTTTCAATAAAAATTATATCCAACATGTTCTCCTTAGTCTCTACCATTTTATATTCCCACTAGCAATGTATGAGTGATCCAGTTTCTCCACATTTTTGTCAGCATTTGATGTTGTCACTATTTTTTAATTTAGCCATTCTGATAGGTTTGTAGTGATGTCTCATAATGGTTTTAATTTGCATTTTGCCAATGACTAGTGATTTTGAATATCTTTACATATGCTTTGTCATATGTATATCATTTTTTGTGAAATGTCTGTTAATGATTTTTGCCCATTTTCAAATTGGAATATTTGTTTTTTTTACTGTTGAGTTTAGAGAGTTCCTTATACATTCTAGATACTGGTCTTTTGTCAGATATGTAATTTGAAAGTACAATTTCTCCTAGACTATAGCTTTTTATTACCTTCTTATAGGTTCACAGATAAAAAGATTTTAATTTCGATGATACCAAGTATATCAATATGCCCTTTTATGAATCATGTTTTTGGTGTTAAATCTAAGAACCTTTTGCATAGCCCTAATCTTGATGATCCCCTTTGTTTATTCTAAAAGTTTTATGGTTTTACATTATTCATGGCAGTCTATGGTCATTTTTGAGTTAATTTTTGAATAGAGTATGTAGTTTAGGTAAAGATTTTATTATTGTTTGGTTAATTTTTGCCTATGAGTGTCCAATTACTTCAGCACAATTTGTTGAAAAGGCTGCCATTCCTCCATTGAATTGCTTTTGCACCTTTGTTAAACATCACTTGAACATTTTTGTGTGGGTCTATTTCTGGGTTCTGTTATTCTGATCCATTTATCTGGTTGTCTGTGCCTCCACCAGTATCACACTTTCTTGACTACTTTAACTATTTGATAAGCCTTAATAATGAGTAGATTTAATTTATTCACTGTATTATTCTTTTGTCATGATTGTTTTAGTTAATGTCTGTGCATTTCTCTATACATTTTAGAATAAGCTTCTCTGTGTTTACAAAAAAATCTTGCTTGGATTTTGATAACAATTATGTTAAATCTGAATATAAATTTAAAGAGAATTCACATTTTTATCGTGTTGATTCTTCCAATGCA